AACCACAGTCAGCGAACAGGAACCGCTTTTTGAGCACTTCTTGTGCCTATAGTGATTCCAGCGGGCCGTCTCTCTGGCACATGTGGTCTTCAATTCGATTGGTTTTAGTGATAGCTGCGATAGCTGCAGCCTCGGCACTTTTGACCTCAGCAAAAGATAATTCAGGTTGCCTTTATACTTTACTTGACGAACCTTTGTGTGGTCAATCGAATATTTTCAACTTTGACCGCATTCCATTTACCTTTTCCTGGCTGTGCCTCCAGGATCCCCCAGGTGTTTTTGTGGCCGTTTTGTCTAGCACAAGTTGTTTGTGTTGAAGGATGAATCAGATCAGTGTATGAAACTCAGAGCTCGAATGTTACACCTTTTTGATTATATAAACCTTCATGTTTCAAATTCTGTCCAGTTGGGATATATAAACTCAACAATTACATACAATTACAGTCTGTACGACAATTTACAATTGTCTTTGTTATATAGTCAGTTATATAAAACAATATATATATATATTATATATGTGGTAGTATACATATCTATAATATATCTGATAGGTCAAGGAAAAGTCAGGTGCCCTGATTCTTGACCCTTTGACTTGCGCCAGGGCCTGGTCGAACTCCGTGCCAGATCGGGGAAACAGGCAGGACAGTGCCTGTCTGATGGCGCAGTTAGTTGGACACATTTGGAAACAGTGTTTGCTCGGAAAAGCTCAAGATGGTCACAATGCTCATGGACGCCTTTGCAGGGCGTGACAGTGAATCTGTGTAACTCCTTCAGTATGTAGGGGCCATCGAAAATCCCAAGCATTGCAACATGCTTCTGGATAGTTCTCCAGATCTCAGCACCGACCGAACCACATTGTATACGGTATATATATATAAATGCTATAAATATTATAGACTTTCTTTGAAGTTGCTGCAAGGAGAGCAATCGCTGCCAAGACACGAGTCTAGTTGTGCCTCCCAAAAGGACATCTAAGTGAATGACAGTTGGTTGGGACACTCAAGAACACCCAATCCTCACCTGTGTTTATCGTGCTTCCTCGATTTGCACAGCGCAAGCGCAGATTGGCTGTGTGGGTCCGACTGCACACTTTGGGGAGCCAGAGGCCGGGGATTGGGGTCCAGCCGCAGGATCGGAGGACTGCAGGAGGTTTGGGCGACGAAGCCGATCCTTTTCGCAGGTGAAACGTGTTGAAATGGTGTTGTTCGTGCCGAGGTCTTAAAGGAAGAATAACCAGCTTATATTTATAAGGTGGACCAACTAATAGTTTTTTGTTGTTGTTTTCAAGGCACGAGGGCAGCTTGGTTCGCTCAGGCGTATACATGAGATCAGCACTAGTGTGTTCCATACGTTCCTTAATGTTCCATATATTGTTGTGCTGCTGGAGTTGTGGCAACTAGTAGGACATTCTTCTAGTTCATGTTCTATAGTTCTTTCTTATCGGTGCACAAGGATACATACCATCTCCTGGTCAGATGGATGTCTCAATTGATCCATGACCAATCTGCAAGAACATATCCCAGCTGTGCCTGAAGAGCGTCAGTGTCTCAGCTCGCAAATCATTCGACATCAACGTTTGCGCCTTGAAGACTTGCTGAGAACGGTCAGATCCGACCAAACAAGGGGGATGTTGCTAGAAGAGATCCCTCCGAAGGAGCAAACAGATGGCCACCAGGTCCCTCCAATAAATGGTGTTTGTTGCAACATCTCTGTTTTCACCTCTCATCAAGAAGAACAAGTGTCTTCTTGCTGAGAGGTGGCGAATGGCCACAGCTGATATATGCTGATATGGTCTCATCCAGATACAAGCCGCGACGACGAATATGACTTTACACCAAATGTTTCCGCAAATAAAGGAACATCAGAATCAAGAGTTCCCCCGAAATGCCATGAAGCATGACTTGTTGTTTTCATGTGTTTCTATTTTGTTCCTGGAGAGTTCTTGACCAAATGTGGAGCCTACTGGGCCAGGCATTAGTTCAAAAGCCAGGAGACCATTTGAACTTCACCACTGGTATGTTGTTTGACACAGCCATGTGTACTAGGAAGATCAGTGCTATTCAGCGCAGTTTCTTTTTTTCTAGGGCCATGCTTGTTGTTGTACCCAAGCCCCCGCCAAACGTGTCTTCACCTGGCAATCTCGACGTACTTCTCATCCGATCTGACTTTGACGACCAGGGTCGCCTCGTCTCGCACCGCAGCAGTCCCCACCGGGTTCGCAAGGCGCTGCAGTTGTTGCCGAAGCGCACCATCACCGCAGCGGCACCCGGAGAGGACCGTCGCCGAGACCGAGAAACGTCGTGGTTTTTGTTCATGGTCGAAGTGAGATGGGAGGGTTTTGTTCATGTGATGTGTTATTGTTATATTTGTGATGTGTTTGTTTGAGATGGGAGGGTTTAGTTTGTGTGTTCATGTGTTTGTATAATGCTTGTATACATGTTTCTCTAGGGTTTGTCCTCTAAGCTTTCCATGCTTTCCCTTTTCAAGTTTCCATGGAGACCGGTGTTTGCGAGATTTGTGGGTGGATGACCTGAAGAAGGGTGTTTGAAGATTGCGAAAGCCGAAGGTTCTTTTTCTAGATTCTAGACCCTCGTAGGGTGCCATATCTTTCATATATACAGGTCTTTCCTGTGTCGGCGATTTTGTACAATGATAGTGGTTTCTGGCATTTTCTGGCCATATCATGCCATATACATATCTAGAATCAAATCCTTTCAACTCACACCAAAACCTGCACACTCAGGCGATCTGTGATCAGATTTCATCCTGAAGTGAATCATTGTTCTTCACAGCCATTGCCATTAAAAAAAGAATAACAACACACCAGTCCCTTGCTTGTTTTCATTGAACGCGAGAACATGTACTGAATTACTTCACCAGCATAGCAGCGAAGCACCTGTTCTTCACGGCATACTGACTGTAGGCTTGTTTGGAGGACAACATTCTTATTTATTTGTTTCTGAATCTTCTATGTCCCCTCCACTTGGGTTTTCCACCTGTTCGGGCCTTTCAGGTGATTTCCAATGGATTCGATACTCGCTCACACAGTTTCAGGTTGTTTCTGGGTTGGGCAGGCTTGAAGCTTGCTCAACGAGGTAACCTATGCTCCAAGACGTGTCAAACGGATATGCCCCAGTCCACGAGATGGAGCATTTCATGGCATTTCCCAGTCCATCCTGTGGGTGCACCCCAGCTTTGGTGTCAGCATACTGAACTTACTCCTAGTAGTAAGCCCAGGAGCCCCTAGTAGCTTCTTGTTCCCTAGCCTTCAGCTTACACAGTGAAAGAGTTTACCCCAACTCATTGAAGCCACCGAGAGCCCTTCTTTCATCCACTTAGGCTACAGCGCTCAGCCCTTGTCGCATCATGCCAATCTCTTCTGAGGCCCACCGGTGGGATGGGCCTGGATGGGTGCACTGAAGGGTGCTTCAAAATGGCCCACCGGTCCACAAAGAGCCCTGCGACGATGCCCGCGATGTTTGATCCAAAACGATCTTCAAGCGGCCACAATCCACTTGTTTTGGGGGGGTGAAAACCTGAGGGTGTTGACATGCAGTCCACGAATACTCAAAGTGAAAGAAGTACTTCCACTCCTCCAACATTCAAATCCAGTCACAAAGTCCACTAGATTGATTGGTGCCCTCTTGCACCAAAAAGCCGGTGGCATGGAGTTCCTCAGGTCCTGCTGGATGCCTTGAAAGACTCCAGCACACCTGCGGCCCTTCGTGAGGCACGACGACGTTTGCACGACGACGTTTGCACGGCCTATGTGGGAAGTAGGAAGACCGGGGTGGTTAGTGGTTGGTTTCAAAGGGAAGAGCATCCAATTCTTGGATGGCTTCGTTCCATGTGGTTCCAGGACAGACACGGTGGATGTCCAAGATATATTGGACCACAAGGTTTGCGACGTAAACCTATTAAGAGACATGGTGGGAACGAATGTTGGACCACAAAAGGAGCTTTCTATTCAATCAAGCTACATTTGTGTTTCATCTTAGAGCTTGAGATTGAAACACCAGTTCCAGAAAAGTGACGTTGCTGCTCGACTTGCCGGCATCTTTGAAAGGGCTTCCAGCAGCTGGTGGCGAATCGCAGGAAGCAGGTGAGGGCGTCAGCGAGAGGGGTGGAAGAAGGTCTTGGCACCCAATCTAAAATCAATGAACACATGGTTTGCATTAGCATAGGAGGTGCGATTGCCAGTGGAACCAAAGAACAGCTTGGTATATCGAATTATATATTTCTCTACATTTGTTACTAAGAATTCTGAATTTCTTTGGACCGGAGCCAGAAGGCTCAGGATCGAGGCTGCAGTTTGCCAAAAACAGGCAAACAGTAAGGGCATCCCGGGGCTCGAAGTGTTGGTCCGTTTGCTGAGGTCCAGGAACATCTCCCCTTGAGCAGCCTCATGCGGCTGAAATGCAACGAAGAGGAGCGCGTGGACCGTGCGGCGGAACGAAGGAACTGGCTCCCATTCAAGGCGGTGGGGAGACGGGGGGGAGACCGGGTGAAAGTCAGAGTCTTTTGTTTTTGTTTTTTGGTTTTCTCGATAGATCCATATATATATATAATGTTTTTAGTTATATACATATATACTAGATGTCAGCTGCATACCAGGATGCCGGCGCGAACCTCCTTGCGTTGCGTGCCGAGCGTCTGCCTTTGGAGCTTCTTGGGCCAAAGAGAGAATCAGGAAGAGGTGTGATTCTGATGGGTTTTATTTACTCGCAGGGAGTCTCACAAATAGGATCCATTTCATGTGTTCTTCTCCATACTTCTAAGTATAATATCCGTGTACTAAGTACTGAGTACTGTAGTCATTTGATGAGAAATCCTGAGCACCGCTCCACCCTTTCCTTTTTTGAAGATGACACGTCAGTCATGAGCACTGAAACCAACCCAACCTGAACTTTGGCTCAAGAAATAAGTGCGGCAGCTTTTTGCTTTTGGTGTCGCACGCTCAGGTTATGAGCCCAAGCGACCTGCCATGTCATCGACAACGATGAGAAGACGGAGAGCGGCGAGCGACAAGGCAGCTGCGGAGGCGGCGCCGGTGGTGATCGGCGAAGCGGATCGCCGCCTGGATGCGCTGATAGAGGAAGAGGTGAGGAGGTCGCGATCGGCGGATGCGGGGCCAAGGAGGGCATCTGATGTGGGAAGCACTCCTAGGGGTCCACCAATCTCCTTTCGACCGCCTGTGACTGGGTCATCGGAGGGCAATCTCAAGGCACTGGAAGATGGAGGAGAGGTGGGGCCAGCAACGCTGAAGTCGGTGAAGACCAGCGAACCGGTTGGGGCACCTTCAACATCGACCAGTTCCACGGTGGGTTTGGGGGCACTTCATGACGCGGTCCAACGAACTTATCATGTACTTCAACAAGCACTAGCGGGACAACCTCAAGGGCAGGGTCTACTCGCACCTCTTGGACCTGGCACTGATCCGGGAGCTCGAGGAGGGCTGTTTGGTGATGGCAGCGGCTTGGTGAATCCACGAGCCTTGGACTATGGGCAGGGAATGGGACAAACACCAAGTCGATCACCCAACATCAATCCCTTTTGGAGTCCTGGCGTTCAGGAGGCTGCGAGGCGAAATCTGGTGGAGGGAGGTCAACACGGAGGTGAAGGTCTTCTTCCTGGAGGTCATGCGGAAGCACGAACGTGTGGGAGCACTCCGGCGGCTGCTGGGGCAGGTGCTGGACCTATGGCACAGGACTCGGGATCGATGTCGCCGGGTCCGGAGGATGTGGAAGCCCTGAGAACCAGAATTCTCCGGGAAGCTGAGGAAGCATTTCAAAGGGAACTTCGTCGACTTGGCACTTCCCGTGAACCAACGGACACGACTTCCTACAAGACGGTTTCAAGTGGTCAACACTTGGGAGACCCTGTACCGGATCAACCCCCTGGACTACCTCAAGGGCGGCATCCATTGTCGAGCTCTACGGTGGACCATGGATCTGGGCAGAAGGTGGTGAGAATTGGTGGTGGGGCCTCGACTGCATCGACGACGGAGGCGTTGAGGAACCTTGAACTTCCTGCCCTACCCTCTCCAAATGTTGAGGGAGCTTCAATCTTGTTTGGGGACTGGCTCGCTATGAGTTTTCCCCTGATGGCTGACATTTCGCATAGCGCCAAGGCCTGGTGGGAAGAGTCACTCTCCATTGCGCAGGAGCACTATGCACGTTGGTTGACGATGACACCCCTGGAGCGACTGCGTGCGAAACCAGTGGTGGTGGTGGAGCCTGCACTGCAGAGGATTGAACAAAGGGGCATTGCAATGTTGTTGGGGGCATTGCCTGATCAGCTCCGGCGGGATCTTGTCAGTGGACGGCAGCTCTCGGTGGTCCACATCCTGTACCGCTTACATGTGGCGTACCAGCCGGGAGGAGGGGCGGAAAAAACGCAACTCCTCAAAAGTTTGGTGGAGACAAAGTTTGCCACGGGGACGGCAGATTTGCTGACACAAGTGAGGTTATGGCGACGATGGCTGACCAGAGCGCAGGAACTTCACCTTACGCTACCTGACCCTGTGGTTCTCATGGTCACGGTGCAGCGCATGGTTGACAGTGCCACCAAATCAGGAGGTGCTCAGATGGCCTTTCGCATTGCAAACGTGAGGCAAGAATTACGAGTAGATTATGCACCAACGGTGGAAGCAGTGATGGAGCTGTCTGAGTATGTGCAGGCGGAGGTGGAAGAGGTCTCGCTGACGACACCAATGAAGTCCCAGCCGGCAACCGCCACTACCGGAGCTGCAGGAAATCAGACCGTGACATCTGTGAAGGCTATGGCATCATCCTTTGGGGCCACGGAGTTGGAGGATAGGTCTGCACAAAAGCCGGCCTGCAAGTTTTGGAAGAGTGAGGAAGGGTGCAAGCGTGGCACCAATTGCACCTATGCCCATGACACCACGGACATGAAGGGTCGCTGCTTCAATTGCGGAGGACTTCACATGAAGAAGGATTGTCCGAATGGGGCCAGGGGAGTGAAACCGGATGCGAAAAGGGTGGCAAAGGTGAAGACCGCGAAGGACTCCGACAAGCCAGAGACGGGGGAGAAGCCTATGCCAGAGACGGGTAAGCTCGATGATGCACGTGGAGATGGTGGATCACTGCCGACTGCAAGGGCGGAAGTGGTGTCGGACAAGCCTCAAGGCAAGGATGCCACGGCTGAGTTGTTGACGGAGGCCACTTCGCTGTTGAAGGCGTTGAGGACTATGAAGATGCTGCGATTGAAGGAGCTGAAGCCACAATGCTCGAATGGTTGTGAAGCATTGGCTCTCTTGGACGGTGGTGCAACCAATGGCTTACGCCGAGCCCGTCCACATGAACTGACAAGATTGGTTCCTGTCACGGTGGAGTTGGCATCGGGGTCCACGACCTTGTTCCGTGTCAAGGAGCATAACACGTTGCTGACCAAGGACAATGTGGAAGTGATAGTTCCATTGCACCGATTAGTGAAGTTGGGCTATAGACTGCAGTGGACTTCAGCGGGCGTCAAGATCACCCATCCTCAAAGCGGAAGGATTGAGTGCGCATTGCGAGGTGGTTGCCCTGTGCTCTCGGAGAAGCAGGCCCTTGCGTTGCTGGACATCATGGAGAAAGAGGACAAGGGGGAATTGATGCTGGACGAGGAGATTCGTAATTGGTGGTCATCAAGATTTCCGGACGTGCCTCAGGAGGTGTGGAACCACATGCGGGGTCAGGACCACTACAATCCGGAGGAGTGTCCGTGGAATCGGCATCAACGACGACGGCATGCTCGCGCACCAGGAGTGATCATTCACCTCTATTCCGGAAAGGATACCAAGACCTGGACAGCAGAAGATTGGAATGGCTATGAGATCCTCAACGTGGACATCGCCTTGGGCACCCAGTATGACATGCATGCAGTGGGAACCTGGGGATACTTGTGCCATCTGGCCAGATCTGGACATGTGGTGGCGGTGGTAGGAGGGCCTCCGTGTAGGAGTGTCTCTCGACTACGGCATCGAGAACCTGGTCCGCGGCCGTTGAGAGGAAGAGATGAAAGGCGCTTTGGTTTGGATGGCTTGTCGGCTGTGGAGCAGGACTTGGCCTATGGGGACCTGGCGTTGGTCTTGAAACAGTTTGGACTATGGTTGATGGCGGAGGAGGCCAGGGTGTGCTTGGGAGAAGGTCCAGGGCATCGGTCAATTTCTCCTGCCTATCTGATGGAGTCTCCGAGGGATCCGGTGACCTACATGAAGGAAGAAGCTCTCCAGGAGGACATGCCTAGCTTCTGGAACTTCAGAGAGGTTCGGGACATGATGGAGGTCATGAATGCAAAACTGATCACCCTGGATCAAGGCCCCGTTGGTCATGTTAAGAGGAAACCTACGAGCCTGATGGTGGTCAACATGCCGGACATGGATGAGTTGGATGGCATGACAGGGGATGGAACTGGACAGCAAGCTGCAACTACATTGCGAGGGCGGCTATGTCAATCACGAGAATGGTCGGCATGGGCACCGGGCCTTGTAGCTGCGATCAAGTTGAGTTTGAAGAGATATCTGGGCAGGCTGCATAGCTCCTCCAATCAGGGAGGTGATGGACGACCTGCACTTCAACGCATGGACATGGAGGCCTGGAAGGACCATGTGAGGAACCAACATCAGCCCTACAGAAGAGACTGCCGGAGATGTATGGAAATGATGGGCATGGATGCACCCCATCGGAGAACTCGGGGGGATAGAGCGGCCTATTGCCTGTCCTATGACATCGTGGGTCCTATGCCAGAGGGTGAGGATGTGGGACTGGGAACCAGAGCCAAGTATCTTCTGGTTGCAACAGTGGCCATTCCGAGGCTGCCTAGAGAAGACCCTGATGATGGAGAAGCAAGGGAGCTGGATGGAGAAGATGGCGATCCACTGCCTATAGGGGAGGAGGATGAGGATGAGCGTCCGGTTCCCGATGATGACCAGGTGCAAAAGTTGAATAGAGCCTGGGAGGACTACATCAAAAGCCTGGGAGAACCGGTGGGTGTGCAGAACATCACGTTGGTGGAGCCATTGGAAAGCAGGTCACAGATGGATGTCACCAAGGTTGCCACTCGGATTTTCTGTCGGTTCAAGGCGATGGGAGTCAACATGCTCCGGGTACACACAGATAGAGAGTGTGCCTTTCTGTCGAGATCTTTTCAAGCCTTTTGCCGACGGTTTGGACTATATCAAACCATGACGGGCGGAGATGAAGGACCGTCCAACGGCCGGATTGAGTGTGAGGTCAACCAAGTGAAACGACGTCTTCGCCTCCTCATCAAAGAGAGTGGTCTGGAGCAGAAATGGTGGCCGGGGATTGCTCGCTACGCGGGAGAAGAGAGACTTCGACGTCAATGCTCTGGTCTTGGTGTCCCATCCACAGCACTTTTGCCGATTGGGGGGAGAGTCACAGTGAAAACCAAAAGGTGGCACAGAGCAGGATTCGGACCTTTAACGGCACCTTTCCGAACTATGACCATCATGGGTCCATCTCCGTTCATGTCACAGGGCTATGTCTTGATGGAGGGTGAGCAGATCCAACATGCTAGGGTGGTGGTTCAACAAGATCCAGGTGCAGAACGAGCAGTTCTAGAACTGCAAATGGTTCCAGATCCTGAAAGGCCACAGCACAGATTGACAGGGAAGCAACCAATGGAACCAATGCTTCCCCAACTTCCGCCTCCAAGGTCATCGCCTGATCCTGGACTTCATCGACTACATGCTACTTCCGGGGGAGAACCAGTCCAGGTCTGGACTGGGGGGGAGTCCTTCTATGCTGTATGCAAGGAGTGTGGTCTACAATGTGCGGATGGGGGCTCAATGAAGAAGATGGAAGGACGGGAATGCTGTGACTTCTGCGAAACCCCGTTGGAGCGGTTTGAGGAGAAGACTGTGAATGGCACTGTGGAGTGTGGAGTTGAGGAAGCCTATAACCTGACACGGTGGATGCATGAAGAACATTGGGGCTGGAAACAGCTATGGAGTGACCTTTTGAAGGATGTGGTGGTGGGTGAAGAGGATGGACTATTACGAGGAGCGCTGATGGACTACCTTGAGAAGAATGTCCTGGCCCTGGAGAATGAACTGACAGAGATCAGGGATTTTGACCTGGGTTATCAAATGGCCAAGATGGCTGAAGGGGTGGTTGGGGAATGCCCTGATGGTGAGCAACAGTCTCCTCTGAGTGTCCATGCCGTATTACAGACCTACACTGTCCCTTTGGCGCAGGTGAAGAAGGAGCTGAAGGATTGGATTCCATCACTGGAGTATGAGGTGAACTCCTTGGAACGCACCACGAAGGCTGTTCGGCCAGTGTCAGTCCGAGATCTATGTCATGAGCCGGGCTACGAGGAGATGCTGGTTGTGCCGTCGAAACTGGTGCCGACGGTCAAAGCACCGGATGGAAAGAAGAGATCAAGAATAGTCCTATGCGGCAACTTGGTGGAGGATACTGCACGACGAGCAGGACACTCTCAGGCTGTGAAAGAGGACAAACAAGTGAATCCCTCCGCAGGAAGATCATTTGAATTGTATGCCAGCGGCATCGATGGAGGATCGCTGAGGTGTGCACTGAGAAAAGCGGCCTATGAACAGTGGTCGATAGGCATCACTGACGTCTCCTCGGCCTTCTTGTTAGCACCTCGGAAGTCACCTCGGCTCATGGTCACCAAGCCCCCGGCGATTTTGATTGAAGCTGGACTGATCTCTGCGGACACACGTTGGGTGGTGGAAGCGGCGGTATATGGTCTGGACAGCTCACCCTCGGACTGGCAGGCGTACAGAGATGATGTTCTCCGCAGTCTGCGGTGGTGGGAGTCAGGTGTGCACTACTGGATCAATGCGACGCCAGAGCCGAATGTGTGGAGATTGATGACTGCGAATGGGGCAGAAGGGGACTACGTGAACGTCATGGAGGAGGGTGAAACATCGGGGTTTGCTCTATCCTACGTGGACGATTTCATTGTCATGGGCCCACAATCAGTCGCACAGGCCGTTCTGACGAAGTTGGCGTCGACCTGGAGATGCTCTACACCGACGTGGGTGGTCTCGTCGGAGTGGAGGAAGTTTTGTGGAGTGGAGATGAAGTGGAATGGAGCAAACCTCATGATTGGCCAGCCGGACTATGCTCGAGAATTTGTGACCCGGCATCCTGACCTTCCACTGAGGTACTCACCACTTCCCAAGATGATTGAGCTCGAACCTGAGGAAGTCATAGACCCCACAGATGTGAAGCAATGTCAAACTCTGGTGGGGGAACTCCTGTGGCTGTCGACTAGGACAAGACCTGATCTCAGCTTCGCTGTTGCTTATTTGGGTGCAAGGGTCACCAAATCCCCTAAGGGTGTGCTGGAGCTGGCGAGCCATGTTGTTGGATACTTGGCTGCAACCCCAGATCTGGTGCTGGAATATGGACCTTGTTCGCCTGAGCTTGACCGACATGGCCGTAAGCAGTCGCTGGCTCGCCTGGAAGTGCTGACCGATTCCTCGTTCGCTCCTGCTGGAGGTCGTGGTCATCAAGGGATCATGGCTATGTGGGGTGGATGCCTGGTAGCTTGGGAATCGAAGTCTCAGGCTTTTGCCACTCTGAGCACTACAGAGAGTGAGCTTCTGGGCTATATCGACGGGTTCACCTTGGGCGAGAGTGTTGGTGCGGTGGTGAATGTGCTGCACCAGAACATCCTTGAAAAAGAGGGAGCGTTTACGCTCAAGGGAGACAACATGTCCGGCCTGCAGCTGCTTCAAGCTCCGTCGGGTCCTTGGAGGACTCGTCATTTGAGGTTGAGAAGTCACGTACTTCGCGAACGACTTCAGCACCATCTCTGGGATGTGGAGCACGTCCCAGGAACGGAGCTATGTGCAGACCTGCTAACGAAATCCATCACTCAGTCACAGTCTTGGCTGGCGTTCAGGAATGCTGTTGGCCTCCGTGATGCAGCCTCGTTGGGTCACTCACAACAACAGAGTGATGGGGAGGATGCTGCTGTGAAGAAGGTGGCATACGCTGCAATGGCTTCGCTGGGATTGCTTGCAGCCATGCCTTACGTTGGAAGCCTTCCACGAATCGCGTGTGTGACTGCATTGGGAGCAATTGCCACTTTCGTAGCTAGCAGTGTGTACAAGACGGCAGGATGCCAGTCAACCAAGAGGCCTAACGCAACCCAGAAAAGAACAGATTCAAGATGGTCAAGGGAAAATGAACCTGACCCAAGTAGGTGGACAGAGAAATCAAGATGGTCAAGGGAAAATGAACCTGACCCAAGTAGGTGGACAGAGAAGTCAAGATGGTCAAGGGAAAATGAACCTGGCCCAACATCGACCGACGATCGTTCGCTCGACACTTGCCATCTTGGCACCCTGTCGGACACATCGCACGTGCAGCCATGGATTCCTCGGTTGTGTGCTATTCGTGCTCTGGGGCCGCATCTGGGACTGGGCACGGATACTCCGTGGCGGCTGGAGCGATTTGCAACTCCTCCCACTGGTAATGACCGGTGGGAGTGCCTTGGCAGTGGAGACGGAGCAGGCGAATGGTGGGTTCGCGTGCTGAAGAAAAGCAGGGTGAGAGCCTTCCACCCCCTACATAGGGGGACGCCCTTCATGATTGAGAGAATGGCTTCGACGAGGGTGACAGTGGCTTTCCATCGAAACAGCACTCGAGAAGCCTGGAAGAGGAAGGAGATCATGGATGACTGGATCAATTCCCGCAACTCAGATTTGGCGGATGTCTATGAATGGAGGGGCTACAGTTTTTTCTATGTGAGATTCCCTCCGAGAGAGACTGAAGGACATGTGGGCTCGGCATCTGCAAACCCACTTCCACCTCCTGGCTCGGTGACTCAAAGTCCGCATGGGTATGGAGAAAATCAGCCGTCGAGGTCTCGAGCAGTAGAAAGGGGAAAGGCTGCGCTGGCAGAGGCGGGGCGTCGCTCCTATGCTGCTGTGGAGGCATCGACTGAGGGCGCTTCGGGGCATGCGGATGAGGAGAGCCAGGGCTATCGAGTCCGACTACAGGGCTATGAGAATAGGGGTGAGACCGGCACCATGGAGGGCAGCTGGACCCGGGCGCTGGCTGGTGAGGGATTGATCGAAGAGGATCCATCCCAGATGCCTGTTTGGTTAGGCATTGAAACTGCCGTGACTGGAGGGAATCGGGAGCCAGAAGACACCGATAGCTCCCATTCTCGCGGCAGCTTTGAAAAAATATGATGTTGAAAACATCAGGGGGAGTGAGAAATCCTGAGCACCGCTCCACCCTTTCCTTTTTTGAAGATGACACGTCAGTCATGAGCACTGAAACCAACCCAACCTGAACTTTGGCTCAAGAAATAAGTGCGGCAGCTTTTTGCTTTTGGTGTCGCACGCTCAGATTCAATTCCGTGCTTGCCACAATCAAAGCGCTTTACCGGGCAGGTTTGTAGCTCCAGGTTGTGAATTGGAAAATCTCCCTCTCAGATATTGATCCGAAGAGAGCTGCACCTCGACATTTGGCCGAGTTGGATGGCTTGTTCAGTTGGCGGTATTTGAATTTGAGATGCCCCTTTTCTGGCTGGTGCCTGGTGGGAATGACGGGATGACCCTTCAAGAATGATTTCCACCTGAGGACCTGAGTGAATTGTTGTCCTTGTGATATGCACTAGCAAATCATCGCGATCCGTTGATAATGTGCGCACGACCCTTATCTCAATTAGATGCTTTGCCTGTCGATGTTCATTTCTTGCATGTTTCGTGAGCCGCGCTGTCGACATGTTGCCTAGTCTTGTCTTACGTCTTACAAGTAGATCCCTCTTTGTGTAAATGTTCATGGTGGGTGTTGCTTACACCGTTTAGACGCAGTTTAGAATACATCGACATTCCGGCCATGTTACAGACCCTCGTGTAACCCACGCCACCGGAGCAGATTTCTTGAGGGGCAATTGATCGACTGTGCGCCAGATCGACACCTGAGAGAAGTTGGTTGCCAGTCGTTTCATCCCACTGGACAAGCTTCGGTCGTCAGCAGATGTCCTTGTTTGAAGGGATGTAGACCCACCTCCTCAGGTTGAACACTTCGCCCATAACTGGATTTGCCTTAAAGATTCTTAAAGAGAATGTGAAGCTACAAACAAGTCTCAATGCATTGGAAGAAGGATTGTTCAGGGAGTAGGACGAGATTCTATTGGCCTTTTTTTGTGTTTCCGTAGAAGACTCGTTTTGTCAGCACTGGGCTTGGCCTCCTTAAGCATGGTTGGAAACCCACCTCAGAAGACAACATTTGCATACAATTTCCTGATGACCTTGCAATGAGAAATACAGACACATTCATACTTCAACTGGACTTTATAGGTCCTTGTGTGGTCATGCTTTCTTGATCACGAAGCATACACGCACCAAAATGAGTTTGTTCGTTAAGCCACCAAAAATGCTGTACTTGGTATACCTTGTGTTGCTTGAATTCTCTCTGGAGCTGAGGCCCAATGATGGATGGCTCCCCACGCCCGATGGCGACCCCAATGGTCCGCGGTTCTCGTTGGTCTTGCCGGGGAGCCAAGAAGGGCATGCACTTGTTAGGGCAGTTGCTGTATTGGATATTGGGCGAGGTCCTTTGTTTGGGGTTGGAGGTGAGCAAGGTGAGAAGTGGAAATGGCGGAAGCGAAGGAGGATAGAAACAAGATAAAACAAGGATAAGCCAGGAGAAAGAACATCAGGAAAGAACCATCATGGCTGACTTGAAGCAAGGAGCTCCTCTACTGCTCTTTTGCGGTGAATCCTATCAAGGACATGCTTGAGAAAACAACCGCACAAAGTACAAAAATAAGAGAAGGGCCAGGGATGTGCAAGCAATGAGGCAAAAGAAGAGGGCAGGAAATTCTAATAGTGATGGCCTCCAACCTAAGAGCGATGGCCTCCAACCTACTAGCGAAGTCTCAACTCGTTTTGCTGGATGTTGTACCATGTTGTCCAGTCCAGACAGTTGTACCCATTCATTCCAAGGGATTCACCGACAATGAAATGGTTGGCGGGCTGGTTTCTTGAGTCTGGACTGGCAGCCAGAAGTGTCTTGTGTTGTGAACCCAAGGCAAGCCGTGTTCAAGACGATTTTGATTCGAGCAACATGCGTGCCTTGTCCACCTCCAAGGCATTCCACGGCGATCTGTGAATGTCGGTGGGTTTCGGTCCATGCGGGGTACGGCATCACTAGATTTGCGTAGCACATGTGTGGCCAAACATGTGGATTTGCCATGTGTTCAGGTTCTCAAGGTTCTGGATGTTTTTCCTGCTGAGGCGCGGGCGGGTGCAGCTGGAGCTCACTGGTAATGGACAGCCAGTGGAGGTGCACGTGAGGCGTGGGGCTGTGAAGGGTTACTAGTAATGTAGACTCTTGATGATATAGTGATGAATGACAATTTAGCAACCTCCATTTGCCATTTGAAGTGATTAATTGACATGTTAGTAACCTCCATTTGCCCTTTGAATTCATCTCTGGTATCCGTGGGGTTTGATTCATCAAGAGTCTGACGGTGACGACTTCGGCCGGACTCGTGAAGCCACTGGCCTCGGTGGAGAAAACACATGACTCGTGAACGGGCGCCCTGCTACTTCAGGGCGCCCTACTTGGCACGGAAAAAAGGAAGTAACAACACAGTTTTCACACAGTTGTTCACACAGGACAACAACACACACATATAATATATATATATATACTATTCTTGAACATCGTTTGCGCTCCTCAGGACTGGATCAGTGCTAGCAGAAGGCATGCTGGCTCGGCTCTCAGGAAAACGTCGGCTCTGAGTATCTGAACGCGACAGGCGTTGGAACAAAGGCTTGGGCAAAATCAAACTCCTACAGAGGGCTATTTAGCTGGCGGTCTCAAACCACGGACAGCTCGAACAGTGACGGCTCTCCCAACCAGAGATGGGTATATACATCCGACTGAGTCTAGGTCTTCGCAAATGTGTTCAAGCTCAAAAGTCTATGTGTGGCCGCCCAGGGAAAAACACGACTTGGAAAAAACTGGGGAACGGAAAAGTTGCTTTAAATCCTCGCACATGCTCTGCTCAGGAAGCACCTTTAGGTTCGGTTTCTGACAGGTGCTGTTCATATTTGCGATATATCCAAAGGGTCCCAATGGCGGACCATCTCCTGGTCCAGCTGGAGGCTGGAGGAGACTGTTTTCTTTGAAACCGTCGGGACATGATGGAACCATCCTCATGGCACCTTTGATCCCAAACACGAAGTGGGGGTCTACCCCAGGGGGGGTTACATAGATACCCTTTTTTTGAGGCATGTCAAGGTAAAACTATCAATAACTTGCTTGCAAATGTTATTTGTTCAACATCCCACTGCAGACTTTCGTCGCCAACGGTCGACCTAGGCGCAGAGGGGCGCAACCTTGCGAGCGCTCTCCGCCGATTGCGAGGTGCGGCACCGGGTGTCGCAGTGTGCTCGGACCGTCCTGCGAACTCGGAGGAGGGTGGAGGGTTTCCTGCAGGTGGGCAGGCTTAAATACCCTTGAGCTGAATCGAAAGGAAAGGTATGGAAAGGTTCCGTCATGTTGATGCCAAACAAGCTCATACATTAGGATGGGGAGGTTAGAATCCAAGTCGCTATGCCTCAAATGAGCTTGTACTCACCAGAGTTGTGGAGTTGTGTTTCACTGTTTTTGGTTGCTGAATGACATGTATTGTTTACATGTATAGCTGATTCTCGATGTTTTCCATATCAGAGTGGTTATGACAGCCCATAACTAGGACCATAACTTCGTCATCCCTCCCTTGGGCGACAACGACTTCCTCGTTCCAGGTCTATCGCCTTTGGCAGTATGACCTCCTCCAAGCTGCCTTCATCAGCAACCAGGCACAACCGACCATGCCATACCATGTCCCATGCGCCTATGGCAGAGCCACGTGCCAGGCGTTTGGCATTGAACGTATAAGGGTTCAATCAATATTTCTGCGTGGATTTCAGCACATTGTGATTTTTGACATGTTCGACATTCACTACATAGTGAAAATTACGTTGGTGTGTGCCAAGCATATCAATCATGCAGTACCTTTCATGGCCGGAGCTGAAGGGAAAATTCATTGGGTTGTTCAACTTGACTCATATAATCTCTAGAATGTTGCCATACGCACTTGATGACCATGAAAGCAAGTGAATGCGTGTTCTCGCTTATGTCCAATCCCTTACGACGATTCCGTTGTAGGCGCCGGACTGGTTCTACCAGTTGCGAGTCTTGGAGCAAGACGCTGCTCGGACTGCCATGGAGGGTGGGGAAGGGTTACCCACTAGATCTATTGAAGACCAGGCACCCAGAGACTTTCGATCAGCCTGGGATTGTGCTGGGAAAGGGGCTCTAATGATCGCGCTCCGCTTGGAGGCTTTGTTTGCAAAGAGATGTCAGTAGACATGACCCTCACCAGATATGCCTCACGTTACGCTTTTAGATTTCTTGCCAGGTGGACTAAAACATTCTGGGGGTTAGTTTCCCGCACAAGGAGTGGTTATCGGAAGTGTTGCTGACTTGAAATCTTTAAACAGGAACTTGTAAGACATCTCTTGAACAAGAGTCATTCTGGGGACTTCTTGGACCAGAAAGATGGCACAGTTCTCTTGCCAGTTCCTGGATTCGAGTTCCTGGACGCTCGTGGATGCTTCTTTTGCCAGCCAGATGGTGCGTCCTCAAAGACCCAGAACTGCTCCACCTCAAGACTAAACTGTTTTGTCGCTTGCACCTTCTTTTTTGCCTTGCTTCCCTTTCATGGAACCAGACTATCAATCTTGGAACAAAGGCCCTTGTGCCTCGTGCGGGAACCTACTCTGAAAGCATGGGTTTGAACTCTGCAGGGGTTGCAGGAGGTGCACTTTCTTCCACCTACACCAGATCCGATACGTCCCTTCGCGCCCAATGGACCGCCCGTCCTTCGCGTGCCCGGAAAACCTAGACCAGACGCTGGTTGCAGTGCCGCTTGACGAATGCCCGTGGCTTACTCCAACAGCGTGGGCTCCGACCTCAACAGGGGTGCTTGCATTCGCATTTGCACATGGCAGGGTTTGAAAAGGAGTCAGTTCTGGGGAAAATATGTTTTGGTTGCTAGTCAGGAGCTTTCACAGCCAATTAGCATGGTCACAAAGTTTGGGCGACTCTAGTAATCATATGAATCATATGACTCTTTATGCTACGTGGCTATGTTCTATCAACAACATTGATCAGGCTTTGTCAGGTACTGTTATTGGCGAGTACCTGATCTTTGATCCATCATCACGACACAAACACGCACTCTTTCATTTTGTTGTTGCGAATGCAATTCACTCGAATGGCACCATCAGTTTATTATTATTTAAACCCAAGTATTGGCATGTCCAGCAATAAATCTGGGTTTGATGCGTCAGTTGACGATGGTGCTGCTTGGAGAACCCATATTCACTTTGGAGTCCAATGAATGTGAGCCCAACCTGCACGAGCTACAAGATTCAACACCGAAGTCGCAGATGTTTCAGACATTCTTAGACCTCAAGGTTCGTCACTAACATGTGTGGGCTAGTATACACAGAGAGGCAGGGAGATCGAGAGGGGGATCAAGACAAGGTGGATGAAGGTTGTAAGCAACCAATATCAATCAATTGATACCGATTGTGTTTTTATGTGTTTTTTCCGCGAAGGGCCTTATTTGACTTTGCATCACAGTCTGATGCAGTTTGTAACATGTTGTGACCAAGTTGATTCTCTTGTTTCAGATCCCAAGCCTCCTGTCCACCGTCTCCGCCCACCTCTCACCTACGCTGCTAACGAGCAGAGGCGCCACCCTGCGGATGACCTGATCCGCGGCTGGGCAAAGAAGAAACAGGAAAATCTGAGGCCATGCCGCGCAAAGCACCGTGCCGAGCAAAAATTGCAGTGCCCGAAGTGAACTTCACACTAAGTGATTCCAAGTCAGCCCAAGTCAGCAAATTGGTCAAATGTAAACACATGTCGTGACACTCCCGGCCTTATTATTGGGTATCACAGCTTAGGCCTTCCAAGACTTATGTAATATTATGAAGCTCTGGATATCGAGGAAAGCGGGACCCATTGACCAAGCCATGTGACCACTACTACCGTTTGGATCTCCTTCACGCCACGGAATGATCGATTTCGTGCATCGCCTGCGGCTTTCATCACAAAATTGCAGCAGCCAAAGCCTGAAGTATGCAGGATAGGAACGCTGGTACGTGTTCTCCATTGGTCCGACAGACCGTCTCATGATTTTTGTGTTTTTTCCCAAACAGTTGACCCCGACCCTTGAGATGCAAGGTCATGAGATCCAAGGTCATGTGTCATCGCCCCCCCCGAAAAAATCGCCATCGCACACGTCACGTGCCGCAAAACGCGTCGCTCGTGGGGTCCTGCCCTCGCAGGCGAGCACAAGAGCGGCAGGAGCAGTTCGCCGAGAACTACTTGGGGCCACTGGGACGAACTGGGCGCCCCAGTGGGAGAAACGCCTTGGTTGCTCGCCTGATAGAACCCGCAGACCGCTTTCCGGCGGTCCGCAAACCGGACCCCGGTCCTGTGACACACGTAATTAAAGCTTCATTCCTCATCCGCACTAGCCCCAAGTCATGAGAGAGCCAAGTTCACACCCCTTCCAAACCGAATTGCTTGGCCAGAATTGGTTTGACCCTGGTTTGTGCGGTTTGGCCAAGAATGAAGATCCCTGTGGTGTGTTCTTTTGTTCATGCTAAGAGACACGAGCATTCGGAACCATCACTTCCGTCCTTGTCAGCTGCATGTCGTTTAGCAGCCGTGTTCAACCGGTGGTGGTTCGACCGGTCGCAGTTAGAGAAAGGAGGGCAGCTTGAAAGGAACAGTCTATAGTCATGGAATGAAGTAGTGTCCATAGTCTATAGTATATAGTCTATAGTCAGGAACAGTCTATATATAGTCACTATAGTCATGGAAACAATATCGTAATATATCGTATAGGCACCCTGTGGGGGGGAGGAAATCATCCTCAACGGCCACAAGCTATGATTGAGCAGGGTCATTCGTTCACCCTCACTCCGCTGTAGGCCAAAGCTGCCCCTGCTGCCGCCCAAGAAATTGGGTACAACGGCCCGGGCGCCGGGCCCGCGAGTCAAGTGCAGTGGGTGGATGCAAGGAAGGGGTTTGACCTTGACCAATGGATTGGGCGTCCAAAACCTGCAAGCTGCATGGAGGCTGGCGTTTTGCTATCCTATATCCTTTTGGATATGTTTGCTGATATTTTCTTTTGAAGGTACAGTGTGTGTTTTCTTTTTTTGAGCACTTTGTTCTGGGTATGACATGGGAGCAGTGTTTCGACATTTGAACCAGAGAGGCTCCTGGCTAGCACAGCAGAAAGAGTGTCAATTGCATGGAGGGCGTAAGCCACCCTTTCCGGGGTCCGAATTGCAGCCCCAATGAATACGAGACATGCTTACAGTGCATGACAGGGCATTCAACGACTGCAGATAGGGTATACTGTACTCAAATTCCTGGTGCTTTCGGAAATCAACTGCATAATATCCGGCCAAAGCTTTGTAGGTTCATGTAAGAAAATCAGTCGTTACAGCAACCCTTGTTGAGCGAAAACACCGCAACCCATCATGACCTATTCATCCAGACTTCATCCTTTCATTTGGTTCAATCGCTTTGCCTCCTCTCCACTGGCCGGTGGATGGCCGCCCGGTCCGAGGCCTTTCGGAGCTGGGGCGACCTGCCGAAGCCCACGTTGAAGTCAGGGGGACCCGGAAGGGGAATTTGTTGGAACAGACCCCAAGAATCCCCAAGGGACCCAAGTGGTTTGGAAGGTGGAAGTACGTGGAAGTGTTATTTCATGATATTTCATGTTATTTCTCTTATGATGTTTGTTGTTTGTACAGTTATTTCTCCATTGTATGGGTTTGTTGGCGTCATTGCGCCCCAGTATCGTAAACTAGGTCCAAGCGAATCGAAGCTAAGTCGAAGCCCGCCGAAGTGGATGTTCAAAGGTTCTCCTCGCATGTTCACTCCGCCCAAGAGGTTCAACATGGCTGTGGCTGAGTCTTGTATATATATATATTTATTAATATATGATTATGTATACATGTATGTGTATATATGCAGATTCTAGATCTATAAATCTAATATGCATGTCTATATGCAAATCACCCACCATGTGATTCACCGTCATTCTTCTTGCCTCCCTGCACCACCCCATCCTCCGAGGCCCAGCAAGGGGCCTGGTCCCAGCTCCTTGGACTGTGCAAGTTCGGGCGAGCGAGTGAACTCACCAGCGGCAGGCTGGTAGCAGAAAGACTCGTCAGACCAGCGTCCCAGACATAGGGCCATTCTGCAAAAAAATATGCAGCGGGACAAACAGATAGTCTAAATGACGATATAGTTTTATGATGTTTTATGTTTTGAGGCTACATGACAAGTTTTTAGTTATTTGAGCTAGGCATTCTTTTCGACAGGGAGCACCACTTCAGCCACGATCGTTGTCGTTGTCATCGACAAGGTTTGTTTGGATCGTTGACTGAGTCATCGAGGAGAGTGGGGAATGCCTACAGTTTGGCATATGAACCGACTACACAGATAGGTGTATACATGTGTATACCAGCACCTTCCAAGGGGTCTCCAATGACTACTCTACAATAATAGTACTTGTGGATCTCCATTGAGCACCCCTTTGAAGGTAGGGTCCAGTTTGAGGATGACTATTTATATCTATTTTTGAGAAAGGCCCGCCTAACCATCATCATCCACAATTACAGGCTCAGGAAATGGTATTTACCCAAACTATACAGTGCTTTCAGAGTAGATGGTACAAACTCCCAAGATGTCTCCGGGATGGGGGTTGTGCCATCTACTCTGAAAACACTGTACCTGTTTTTCACTTGGCGAGTCACCCCATGACCATGATCACGTGACACGAGGCCCCAGCGCCTTCCGCGCCTTGCGCTTGGTGCACTCGGAACCCAAGCTCCGATGAGGCAGCGTCTTTGGGAGCTAGGTCTCATGGCAGAAGAGCTCAGTCTGTGTTTTTCGCCAAGGAAATGTGGAGAGTGTCAGTTGGATGGTTGGTCGACTCAATCAGTGGAACATGGGATCTTACTCTAGGCCCCTAGGCTTCCATGCAGATAATGCAGAAACTATGGCATGCGACAGGGATGGTCAGGAGATTTCATAGTATGACTCAGATGATTCGTATAATTCATATTTATATACTATATATGTTCTCTTGGCTTGATTTATGCCTGCAGTAACATAGTTCTTGTAGAGATCACGGAAATCAACAAACCCTGGGCATCAATCGATCGCCCACATGCATATCGCGATTTCTCAGGAGCTTGACACTGGCGGGGTTTGTGTCCCCCCCGTTTCATCGAGAGTAGGACCACGAGCACTTCTGCAAAAGTGGCCAGGTCTACGGTCTACGGGCACTGTTTTGATCGTGTGACCATTATGTGATCATCACCAGACGCGCAGCAGGTGATGAACCCCTAGCGGCTGCTGCTGTGTGCAGTGATAGCCAACCATGACCAAGCGGCCGTGATCCAGGCAGCGGCCGTGTTACGAATGAGAAACACTTTGTTTACTCAGCCACCCCGCTGTTTGGGGACACCAAAAACACTCGAGAGAGAATCTTCGGGTTGTTTCGGGATCCTTGGAGCCACGAAGGCTCCTTTGCGGCTCCTTGTGGCTCGGTCCTAAACCTACCTCCGTAACTAAAGGACAACAATAATCACCAACAAACCTGCAAGCGGTCCACTTGCCCCTTCCACCAAATGACTTTAAACATGCCCTTGCAATCCGTTGCATGTCTTGTTCAAGCTGAAGTCTTCAGCTTCAGCATCGGCTCTTTTTGGCTGGTGCCATGCCAAGCCTTTCGTGTTGTTTGCTGATCCTGGCGCTCTTTCCATGGGAATCTTCGGCACATCGCCACCGAATGGACTCGAAGTCGTCGTTCGCAGCTTGGCTGGGCAAGGGTCAGGGGAGCTGCAAACGTGCACGGGGTGCGAGCTGCCCCCAAAACCGGTTCAGGTGTATAGGCGGCTACATGTCATAGTGAGCCCCAAAGTAGGGCCCTTTGGAGCTAGAGATGACCGTGATTGTAGAGCATCGCTCCTGAATGAATTATCTGAATAAAGGTTCCTGGATGGGTGCCATGCGGTGTTGGTTTTTGGGGTCATGCGGGTCGGTCAGCTCTTGGGCTGGAGTCGAAATCTCATCAAAGGTCTGAGTTCCTCGCATTCAAAGCGAGGTCGTTGCTTCAAATGCTTTGCACCTCAGTCAAGGCGGGAGTTCCTGGGTATGGCAGGATACAGCTATGGCAGAGGCCACATGGCGAGGCCACAGGGTACAGCAGAGGCCTCATTTTGTGAGGAGAATCCATTTGAATTGGAACTTTATCAAGATCTCAAACCGACTTTAAATTGATTGAATGATATCAATTCTGACACACTAACCCGAGACATCCAGGAATCTCCCGGAGCTTCGGAACTGTCGTCCGCACAGGCCAGGTCAACGAGGAGCCCTCGAGGAGCTTCGAAGTGTTTGGGAGGAACGAGACTGAGTTTGTGGACTGCCACAGCGAAAACTTCGATGCCGTGGCTTATGGGAGCCTCGGATAGCCTCAGATAGCCGGGATGAGATTGGGAAGTCCCGCTTTCCGAGCGTTTGCTTTTTTTCTCGGACAAATGGAGAGTTTGATAGGTTTCGAGGGTGGCGAAAATGAGTGAACTGCTGGGTTGGTAGGGTTAAACCTGTTAAACCAGTGTTGGTGAAGAATCGCGCAAACCGCACGCAACAGCTGACGATCCAAGACTTGACATGTTTTTGGGTGAAGAATTGAATGCTCAAGAAGAGAGAAGACTTGGGTCCTTGGGTCCCAAGCTTTGTGGGTGCCAAAGAAGATGCCCAGAGGAGAAGACTGGAGTATGACTGGAGTGGCTTCACATCGCTTCGCCAGGGCCTTTTCTCGCCGCACCTTTTAGAAGCGAGGGGCTCGAGCGACCCCTAAAAGACAAGGCGGCTGCATTCCGAAATAATATTTGAAGAGCTATGCCAGATCATTACTGTACCAATCAATTTATTTGATACATGCCAATTAATATTGTCTACAAATGAAGTCATTCCACCAACAGAACCCCATCAAGAAGCAGAGCACAACGAGTAAAGGCCTGCAGGCCGGGAATGATCCCAGCAAAAGACCCCAAACCAGTGTTTTGAGGTCTAGCGGTCTAAGGTCTGAGGTGAAGAAGCAGAAGGTCCAGAGATGCAGGAAAACAGCACCGAGAAAAGCAGAACAAAACACTCAGGAAACAGATGATTTTTACATAGAACAAACATCGACACTTTTCTCCATCCGCCGGGTTGCGCCACCGAGGAACATGCTGGTCTTGATTTGCAGCTTGGATTTGCCTCGAGGACCTTGTGGAAGTATACTGTAGATCTGTCTTTTTGGGGATGGGTTGGCTTTGGGAGTCCAAACTAGATATTCACGTTCCATTTCTGGATTACCCTCCCGGAAGCAGTGATTCCACAGAGATTCCAAGGTGGGAGCAACAAACATGTTTCCAGAGCATCCATGGGACCGGAATCGTTGCCGCCTCATTGACCCCCAGATAACCATTGCAATGTAGGTAAATAGGTAAGTCCAATTGTCTTGGGTTCAGAAGTGATTTGCTCCCCTACACTTGAGGAAAACCTTCTGTAGGTTTTGGCTGATCATTTTGGCATTTGGAGGGTAGGAGTTTTCGCCGTCAGATTCAGCCTGAATAAACAACAGCACACAAGGACACGCATGCCAATTCGTCACACTCTGTGAGCAATCTGTGCTCACACCTGTTGCTTGAGGTTTCATGTTGCACACATGCAGTTCTGGTTCCAACACATGAAGAGGGGACCCTTAGTGAATTACTGTAACTTTTGGTGTCCGAACTGCAAAGGAGACCTTCGAACTGCACGTCCTTCTTTTTGAGCCCAATGAATCCAGAGCCAGTCGTTTTCGAACCAAGGCCGCGTCGGCACGGTGTTCGGCCTCGTGGCGCTGGTGATGCAGCTCATCATCTTCTGTGGGCTCCGGTGGAGGGTGAGACTCATGATGTTGATCAGCCTTTTGCTTGGACGCCTTGGCGGAGAGTGGGACCGGAACGGGGAGGGCGAAACGAATGAACAGCCAGTTTTGAACGATGTTGAACCTTCTTGTGGTGTGGAGAACTAGAGGGTTCAGAAGGGGAATCAAGGCTCTTTTAGTTTGGCTCCAGTGCAAGTCTGGAAGGAGGTTCAAGAGGCCTGGCAGGCGATAATAACCCTTCAGCTGCTCCAGCTTTGTTGCAACCAACTGAGGACTCCTTTGCTTGGCCACACCGGGTATCGCCAGTTCTGTGGCGGCCACACACACGGTGAACAATGTATGCAACTAAGTGAAGGAATTGAATGCATTTTATGTCGGAGGTTTTAGAGTAGATGGCACTATAACATCCTTGACATCTAAAGATTTGATGATTCAGATGAGTCTTGACCACCTCTTAGGATGTTTGCCAGCTACTCTGAAACGTTTGAGGTGTGCTAGCTAGCTGCGCAAAACGTGAACACCTGGGTTCGTCCCACCTGGACGATTGTCTTGTGAAGGTGTATCACTTCACGAGAAGATTTTCTCCACATGGGGCGAACCCAAAGGGTTTTTGGCCTGGGCCTAGACCTAAAAAACAATGTTTTTGGAGTCATATTAACTTCAAAAACATATATATATATATATAAACACTAATAAGTTAACATTATGTTCAGTATTGGCTGGTTGTAGCCGTCCTGTTTCTAAAAAAAGAGGGACCGATGGTCCCATGAAAGGTCCCTCTCGTTGCTCACCCTGGAGGCATGAAGTGCGGATGCTCCGAGGAGAAGAGGACGGTCCACGCCTCACTCGGTGGGCTGCTCCCGGGGCCGATCGGGTTGGTTCGAGGGACTCAGGAAGGTATAGCTTCGAGAGGTCACTGACCCATAACTCACTCCCTCCTGACTCTGACAGTTTTTACTTTTTCTCCCGTAGTCTAGACCCCAAGCTAGGTGGGTTTTGTTTTGGGACTGACAGCGGATTTTTGGAACAGACCAACCAGGCTGAGTCTTTTCGGGATCGATGGGTCCGGTCCTCCTTCGCGCAGCGGCCGGTCTCAGAGAGGGTCAGTCCCAAACCACACTTGACCCATCTCGGCTATGGGATTGCTTGGCGTTCGCATTTTTCATGGTGGACGAAGAAAAAGACGCCCATCACCACCAAATGGATGAACCGTACAGCAACTTTCGAAGGATCCGTACCTGGGCAAACAGGCGAAGCGAAACTCCCACCGGTGCGGGGAAACAAACACACACACACACAAACAAGGCATATCAAGGCATAATTGCTGGGTAATGGTAGGTACTGTATATTATATAACGCATATATATATATATAGGCACATCTCTCAATCCCGTGTCGTTTGGGTTTTTCTCATCGATCCACTGAGAGGATTTTCTTCGCTGGAACTGGGATGATCCAAGAGTGTCACGACTGTTCGTGGGAAGCACAATATTGCACAGTCGCGCAAGCGAGTGCAAGACTGTGGCAGGCCACTGTAGCATGAAAAAAAAACTCACCACTTGATCTCAATCGATCAATAAGTGGGGGTCTGGGTTGAGGGTCAGCCCTAGGACTACACGCGCCAGAACTGGCTCAGTTTCGTTAAAAAAAGGTGGCTTTCATTGGCTTTCCGTCAATATGAGAGAATCCAGATCCCTCACCGGACTGGTCATCGTGACGACTGGAGCCGATTTTGCAGGATGCATATGACCTTGGGCCACAAGGCATTAGGTGACTTGGCAGACGAGGAAGGTGATGGAGCAGAGCTCCGAAGTTTAGAAGAAGGAAGGCTAAGAAGCGATTTACCAGCAAACTCATCCAACCCAGGTAACTTCAAAGGCTAACGGCTGGGTTGGGATGGTTTGGGTGAGCCAGGTGAAACCTGTTTGAAGGAGTCAATGACCCACGTCGGACCGTTTGAACTACTAACACATGGGTAAGATGGCCATGCATCAGTGCCATGTTCCACCATGTTCCACTTGCTCCATTGAAACATGATGCCATGCACTTGACTTCCGTGGATCAAGATTTTTGACATGTTCCACCAGTTTAGTTGGCTCGCTAGGATATGATGGCTAGAATGTCACTGGACGTCGGATTATCGGCGTGGTTCCCTTTCGGAAGATATGCCCCACGGTTGAGAGATGCCCCACGGTTGAGAGATGTTGAGAGTGTCATTTTGTCACCCATGCTTTTCTGATCTTTTCTGCTGTTGGGCTGAACATGTATTTTGTTTTACAATTTAAGGATGCTGTTGACTTGTTTATATGGTTTCAGAGTAGATGATTAGATGGCACGATCCCCAAAGGGTGGTGTATATGGACCCCCATCCAGAAGACATCTTGGGGTTTGTGCCATCCATCTACTCTGAAACCACTGTGTTTCAACTCCCTAGAAGATGTTCTAATTGCAAGGCTCAACTGCATGTTTTTTGCATCCCCCCCCGCTTTTTGGACATGTTTGACACGTTTGAGTTCAACTGGTCGGGATTGTGACCCATCTCGACAGACCAACAAACGGACTTCAAAAGGGGGAAGTGCCAGTGGCCACTGTTTGTTTGTTCCCTGGAAGTGGGGCGGCCAAAGGATATGTTATACATATCTGGGGAGGTGTATGCATACCTGGAAACGCGTATATGTGGATGGATGGATGGATGGATGGATGGATGGATGGATGGATGGATGG